GTCGGCGCAGAGCCCAATGTGGGGCTCAAACTCAGAACCGTGAGATCACGACCTGAGCCGAAATCAAGAGTCGGACGCTTAACCCACTGAGCCCCCTAGGAGCCTCTAGATAGCTTAGTTTATTGAGCGTATGGTATCCCAGGCACGGTGCTCACCCCTTCACCTCACTAACCCCCACAGTACCTCCTGCATGACAGCCGGGGCCGGGCCGGAGCGTGGCCGCTGGAGCTCCATGGTTAGCGGTTAGCGGCCTCTGCTTCTGCCCTCCCCACCCTCAGGCCCTGTCCCTGCTCGGACCACGCCGCTGGCTCCAGCTGCAGGCGGCAGCTCCTCCAGACACTGACCCGCGGGCCCTCTCTCTCGCTTCAGGCACTACCACAGCATGGAAGTGTTCACCCACTATGACCTCTTGAACCTCAATGGTACCAAGGTGGCAGAGGGCCACAAAGCCAGCTTCTGCCTGGAGGACACAGAATGCGAAGGAGGTATCTTTGTGTGTGGGGGGGGTGGGGGGGGCTTCAGAGGGGCTCAGATGCCCCCACCTGTCCTGAATCCCAGGCCTGACGCTGGACTCTGTCCCACTGGCCACTGCTGACTCTCCCCGTGACCCTTCTCCAGCCAGGGCCTTCCATGGCCCCAGCTCTGTGGGCAAGGCCTGGCTATGAAGGAGCCCCCAGAGTTATGCTGATGGGCACGGGTGGGTCCACACGGTCCCCTGGGTAAGGCCCAAACCTGGCACGTGGTCCCCTCTCCCTCTGGCTGCCGCAGCCTTTCTCCCTGTGTCCCAGCACCGGGTACCCCTGCCCCACAGGCTCATGCTCTCCGAGTCCAAGCCCAAAAGACCCACTCTGAGGTTCCTGGACTCTCTCGACTCCCCCAGACAGAGGCAGCTCTCTGCCCACACCCCTAGCAGGCCATTATGGTTGCACTGTGATCACCTGTGGGCATGCCTGCCGTCCGGACCTGACTGGGCCTTAAGGGAGACACAGTGATTCCTCTCCATATACCCAATGCTCAGAGTAGTGCCCAGACATGGTAGCCTCTCAATAAATGTGTCAGGGACATGCCATGCCAGGAAATCACACACACAGATGGGTTTTTGAGCACCTACTACGTGCCCGGCAACCAGCTGACCCACTAAGGGTCGGATTCACAAACCAGACCTGGGCCCACATCCAAGTGCTGATTGTCCAGAGGGTGGCAAGATGACCGCCACATTAAGCTAAATAATCAGCACCAGAAAGATCCCAGATAAGCATTCACTCCATTCCCAGGCTAGTGGAAATGCCAGAGTGGCCAGGGGAGGCTTTGTGGAACAGGAGGCGCCAGGCTGGGCCTAAAGGGGCCGGTGGGATGTGGGAATCAAGGCAAGGATTCCAATGAAATGAGAACGGATGAGAAGCCCGCACAGTGGGGAGATGGGATGCCAAGCCCAGAAGCAGCAGAGTTCTGAGGACTTGGGGGACGGGAGAGATTTGCTGAGTGTGGGCTCTGGGAACGTCACCCACCCAGCAGGCCTTCTTGGGGCTCTTTGGGGGAAGGGCAGCTGGGAGGGCAAGTAGTTCAGGCAGTGGGGCCAGGGTGCATGGTGACCGGGCTTCCCTCTGCCCCCACCTGCAGACATCCAGAAGAATTATGAGTGTGCCAACTTCGGCGAGCAGGGCATCACCATGGGCTGCTGGGACATGTATCGCCATGACATCGACTGCCAGTGGGTCGACATCACTGACGTACCCCCTGGAGACTACCTGTTCCAGGTGAGGGGCACAGGAGGGGGTTTCAGCCCCTGCTGAGGGGAGGAGCGGCCTTCTCCCCAGTGACGGGGGAGGCAGCCCCCTTGGTGGCGGTGTCCAAACACAGAACACATGCAGGGAGGCACACAAAGCCCTTGGGGAGCTGCCAGGCCCCTGAGACGTCGCGTTAACACTTGCGAATCAAAGCGCGTGCACGTAGCCAGGTTTGGTCTTCAGGCTGAGAATTTGTTCCACAGACCCTAAGGCAACCCTCATCCGTGGTGTCCTCTGACACAGACTGTCACCTCCCCCCCACCCCTCCCGTGCCTTCACCCTCCCCTGTCTGTGCTATCGAGGCTGGAAGCTCAGGAGGAGCCATTCACCCGCAAGCGTCTGTGACTTGCCTCTCCCAGAAAAGGTGACCTCCCGAAAGGGTCTGCAGAGGGGACAATGCTGCTGCCTTCCTGCAGACACAGTGGCATGCTCCAGCCATGCCCCTGGCATGGGAGCAAGGGCACCACATTCCCGGCATCGCCCTCTCTGGAGCACAGGTGCGCTCCGGCCCGCAGAACTCCCTGGCGCTCTGGCACGTTCCTACACCTCCACCCGTCTAGGTCTCGAGCTCACCCTGCTGGGTGGCAAAGTGGGTGACCAGAAATGTGTCATTCTGCCTTGAAAACTTTCCCAAGGGGCATTCAGCCAGCCCAGAGTCCGGCCCGTGGTCCCCACCCTGGAGACAGCCCTGGGAAGAACCAACACCTGCACAGAAGTGACCACAGAGGCGCTTTGAAAGTTTTCCTGTGCAATTTCAGAGGCTGGAAATCAGACAGCCAAGCACTTTTCCACCCCCAAACCCAAAACCGCAGACTTGGAGAGGCCCAGCCAAAGAGCAGAGTGCTCTTTATTTTAAAAAATGAATATCCATGTCTCTGTGCACGTACACTGTGCCCAGGGTTTTGTGTTTGAGGTTGGCTACCACTTTGCTGGGTGAACGTGTATTCTCGTGTGTCCTGACAAATGCCACCTATTTAATAACTAGGGCTCGTTGAAGATTGATGCCAGGCCTGGCCGTGCCTAAACCCTGTAAATGAATATAATTCCCCCAATGAAGGCCTTTACTACTACCCTCATTTTACAGCCAGGCAAACCCAGGTCACATCAACTCTGTATCCGTGTTCCTGACCCCTGACGACACAATTAGCAAGTTAACTTACTGGGAGCGTTTGTGCCTCTGATTAATGGAAAAGAGTGTTTCCCTTGGGACAGACATGGAACTTTAGATGTGTGATAGCCCTGGCCTGGGATTTCACTGGCCCTCTCCATTCCCACATGGACCTAAGAGCAGACCTCAGTAATGCTGCCAAAGGCGGGAGAGAGCCAGGGAAGGAGGACGTGCCTTCCAGGCAGAAGGGCCTGCAGGAAAGGCTCAGAGGCAGGGACGTGTGTGAAGTCACACCTCCAGGAGCACACGGCCTGGTCCTTGTCCCATCCCATCTCAGCACATCCTGCTCCCCAGCTCCCTTCTAGTTCCTATCAACAGCCCGTCTGTGGCCTCCCTGGGCCCCCATCCCTGCCTCTACTAATCTCAAACCTCCCAGGGCACCCAGGAGAGGGTAACCCCTTTTTGAAGGCCGACTTATGGGAGGGTATATGTGTGTGAATCACAGAGAGGCAGACAGAGGTGCACATTCTCACTCCTCCCAGCCTTGACCCCTCATCTCTGGCTAGTCCTGCCCCGGGGCTGCTCTTGGAGCAGGAGGTCGCCCCGACTCTGGAGGCAGTAGAGCCTGGGCCCGGGGTGAAGGGTGACCAGGGCAGGACTCAGCAGCGCCCTCTGACCTGACTTGCCCCCAGGTTGTCATTAACCCCAACTACGAGGTTGCGGAGTCTGACTACACCAACAACATCATGAAGTGCAGGACCCGCTACGACGGCCACCGCATCTGGATGTACAACTGCCACATAGGTAAGGTCCCTGGGCACTGGTGAGGGAGCACGGCACACCCAGAGCTGCCCCCCCCCCCCGCCCCCCCAGGAGACAGGCGAGAGCTGCCCTTTGTCGAGGAATCAGAGCAGCTTCCTTATTCGGGTAATGAGCGTGGGGAATGGAGCCAGCCTCCCATTTCCACGCACAGGAAGGAAGCTGTAGACACATAACGCCTGGACAGAGGCTGGGTTTTTGCAGCCAGCTCTGGCTGGGGAAGGAGGGAGGCACGGCACCGGGCTTGGAGCTGAGGCCATCTCATTACACATGTGACCTCAAACATGTGGGCGTCAGCAATTTGCGGGTTCTGTGTATCATTTTCCTCTGTTGAGAACCAGAGGCTAGTCAAGCACTGTGGCGTCTGGTGGCCAACGAAGAAACTTATCCTCGCACTACACACACTGGGGAACAAGACAGGGAGCAGAGCTTCCTCTTCGGCAGGAAGAGAGACGCCCCCACTCTTGGGATGGCAAAAACTAAACTTGCTATGTCTAGTTGCTCCTTCTCTCGTGTTGCCTGAACACCTGATGTGGGCCTGGCCCTGGGGATGACCAGCACCTAGTTGCTGCCCTGGTGGCGTTGCAGAGGTGGCCCCAGCAGGCCATTTGGTGGAGGGCGGTGGCTCCAAGGCCCCTGAGGCCGGCAGTTCCAATGGGGGAGAAGGCTGAGCATGCGGTTTGCCAAACTCTGTCTCCCCGATGCCTACCCCTCAGGTGGTTCCTTCAGTGAAGAGACGGAAAAAAAGTTTGAACACTTCAGTGGACTCATAAATAACCAGCTCTCCACACGGTAAAGCACCAGGTCACCTCCTGTCTTGAGGCCACAGCGCATTGTCCCCAACAACTGCAGTCTGACTGATGGCCACACTCCCTCCTCGCCAGCCCCACCCCTGCCCCATCTCAACCCCCTGCAGCCATGCCCAAGGCCCAGGAGAAAGGGGTGTGCCTGTCATTTGCTGGGGGCTGCTGCCTGACCCTTGGAGCCTGGGGACGACCTCCAGGGTGGGGCTTGGCCACAGGGCCGTGGGTGCCAAGAGCCATCTTGTCTGGAAACCCAGGAGCACGGTTAGCAGCAGAGCATCCCACCCAAAGCACGGTCCACCTCAAGTAGGAGAGCAACCCCCTCAACTCACGACAGATACATACCATGTTGGTGGTATGAACTATCAACCCAAGGCGGTCAGGTCGGGCTGAATTCCATTTGTCCTTCTCTTAGCTCATGTCCAGCCAACTTGAATATCTAGACCTCTCTTCCAATTAAACAGACTGCCTCTATCATATTCACATACACAGATAATGCTGCCATGTGTTTTTCTAATTAGGTGAGCTCAGAGTTGGTGCTTCCCCCGGTCCCCCTCCCAAATCCTCTTATTTTTCAAGATACCATTATTATATTTTCACAGACTTTCAAATACAAAGCAACTTAGTGGCATTTAATGGGCATCTGGGCCTTGGAAAGTATAGGTCAAAAGAAAAACCCAACCCACCTGTGTAAGTGGCTCATCCTTCTGTTGTTCCAATTCTGTGGGTTAACTGATTCAACGGTGCTATAGCCAGGGTCCTGGGTGATGAGGACACCCACCGAGCGCCATGTGTCATCACAGACACTTACACGTACTTGAAACTTTGAATAAAAAGTTTATGGTATGCATCTGTGTTTCATTTGGGCCTCTGTACCTGGCCCTGAGCCGCAGAGCTGCTCCGTACAGTAGGCGGGAGGGAGCCCGGCATGCACTTACAGGTTCACGGCTGCAGAGACCTTCCAGAGCGGCTGCAGGGGGTCTCCCTCAGTTCCCACCACAAAAGACCAACTCCTGCCTTCTGGATCACAAAAACACAAGTCATGACCTTTCTTGAACTTGTTCTGTAGTGTCTTTCAGGGGGCACGGCGGCTGTGTTAGGACCGGATGGGACGTTTAGATTTAAACCATCTCGTGGGACTGGGGGGCGGAGGGGGGAGTTTCTTCCCGCAAGGGCAGTGCCTCGGCCAGGCTCCAAGGGAGGGGCGGTGATACGGAGCATGTGCGCCCACAGAGCAGTGGCTGAGCTCTGCCCAGCACTGGCAGGGTGGGTGGTCGAGGCTAGCCACTCTCCCCCAGACACGGGGACTCTCACCCGTATCAAGAGCGTGCTGTGGCCCAGCGGGTCAGAAGGGTCCACAATGACCCCAGAGCACCAGATAGGGCTGCCTTGGCACCAAATCCACCCACACCAGAAAAATGAGTGACTGGAGACCTTGTCCCCATCGATGCCCTTGTCCTGTGAGGGGGGCTCAAATTCATGGGCCATTTCAGATTTTACCTCTTCGCTTTGCTCACAGTTACGGAATTCTGCAAGAAGCCCCTCTGTAACCCACGCCGGCAGGTTAACACGAGGACAAGTTCACAGCGTTGGTGCCCTCAGCACTGCCATCAGCCCACTGCTGCCCTGCAGCCCACGGCAGGTTAGGATGCCTGACTTGTTAGGAGACTGGGCAGGTGTCACACAACAGGTGCAACCTCCTCCCCCCATGAACTGGGCAGGCACTGGGCCAAATGCCTGAGGCCCAGCTGGGATCCTCCAGGCCAATCTGGGGGCCCCTTTTGTTCGGCAGCCCCAGTCTAAACTAGGAGACAGACAGCACCCCCTGGTGTTGCCTGGCAGACCATCGCATTTGGAAACAACTGTCAGGTTTTTATTTTTTCTCAACTTCTGGAACTAGACCAAACTAAAGCCCACCACACCCAACAAGGACACCCTGACAAATAGTGCAGGGCTGTTCCGGTGTCTATAAAGGCTTGTGGTGTTGGCGCACCAGCTTCGTCCTGGGGCCACCGATCCAGGCTTGCTGGGCCTCTCAGGGCCTCAGGGAGGTAGAAGACTCGACCGCAGGCCGCTCTTTCTTCTTGTGTTGGAGCCCCAGGGCCCGGGCCACCAGCCTCCTGGCCACCGCTGTATTTGTCTGTGGTCTCGCCTTCGCCAGACGCAGGAGCTCTAAAAGGAAAGCCCCATGGGACGGGGACTTGAATTCAAGGCTGTGGCCACCACTCCTCCCAATGACAGCAGACTAGAGGCCATCTGAGCCAACCTCTAAGGCCCAGCTGTGCCCACAGCATGATGCCCATGGGGTCCTCACCTAATCCTGCTGCTTCTGCACCTTCCCTGTCTCTCCGTCTGGGGGAAGTGAGGGGAAGGAGGGTGGGCTAATCTTATATACCTCTCTGAACTGCAGAGCCAACTGAGAGGGAAGTCAAGTCAGGTGGGACACCTGGAGCTCTGGGACTGACAGGATATTTACTGTCCCCAAGTCTGGGGCAAAGGCTACAGAGGCCACAAGAGCATTGGATAGCCTCGGCTGGCCTGTTCTGGGCCACTTTTGCCAGTCACTGCTTTGCAGCCACAGAAAACTGGCCTCTAAAAGCCCCCATCGTGCTTTCTGGAAGGAGAAGAGGAAAAAAGAGGAGGTATCATTTACTTGGCATCTTCTGTGTGCCCCCCACTGCTCTAGACAGGTCTGCCAGGCTCTTTTGCTCACTCCTCCAATACACCCAGTACAATCTGCTTATTTTACAGAGACAGGGACCATCTCACAGACATTAGGTGGCTTGCTCAAGGTCAACTTAAATAGGTGACAGAAGCGGGATCATACCCAGGGCTGACCCCAGAATCCAAGCTCTTTCAACCCCACTGTAAAATATGGCTCCCATGACCCTACAGGAAAAACCAAGCTTTTCCCTGAACAGCACCCAGAAGAGGTACGCATAGGAGGGCAAGCCCAGCACAGAGAAGCTGGCAAACAGCTCTCCCTCCTGGGGCCCTTCTTCCCTAGGCACTCCTGCCCCCAGGGTGGGGAAGGAGCACCCCTTTGGCCACTGTACCCAGGGGTCCTAGGGCAGACAGCTGAAGACCAAGGAATGAATCTGGAGGGAAGGCCCCACCCTGCCCAACCAAACACTCATACAGCCTTTCGATCGGGACACAACTGGCTTCCTTACTTGGCCTCTGCAAGGCTTTCAGCTTTGACTGCTTGGTTCCCTGCATAAGGGGCCGGATCTTGAGCACAGAGAAATCCTTGGTCAGGGCTTCAGCGGCTATGAAAAGAAAACAGATCTGAAGCCACTGCTCTTCTTCCTGGTGAGGCCCCCTCAGGGACAAGGGATGCATGTATCACCCCAAGCTGATGGAGCAGCTTTGTGCGCCCATTTAAGGCTCGGGGACAGGGCTGCCCTGACACCACTCTGACTGGGCAAGAGACGACCACCATCTGTTCACCTCACGCCCAGCGCCCCGCAGGCCTACACAGGGCACCCGTGCATGGCCAGCTTCCACACGCTACCGTGGGGTGGTCAGGAGCCACACCAACCAGCAAGGCTGCAATTGTGACATCAGGGAAGGCAGGCTCCCACCTTCTAAAGCCCAGGAGCCTCAAATAAACTCTACCCTTTCCCCCACTCACAACTCTCCCGGGCGCATGCCCTCACTACCCCGAGTTCTGCGGGGTCATGGAGTATTTGAGTATGTCAGACTCAGCATGTCAGAGCTTGCAGGGGCTTCGGGTCCAAGCCACCCTTTTATGCATGAGGAAACTGAGGCCAGGACGTGACGTACTCATCGCACACAGCTTGGCAGAGCCCAGAAGGCAGCCGTGGCTGAGCCTCACCCAGCACCCATTCTTTGCACCACACCCTGTGGCCATCCTCCCTGCCTCCCCTTCAGTCAGGTCCTTCTGTGGGGCTGCCCCAGTCCTTCTGCTCTCTAAACACCTCAGGCTCTCCTGAGAACTGGGCCCACACCAACTATGGCCTCTCCCAGCTCTGGTGTTCAGAAGCTCGTGGTTATGAAAAGCCCAGCCAAGGAGGTCAAGGGTCTTGATAAATACACCCATAGTGAGCAGTGGTGTGGCAGTGGCAGCTTCGGAAAGTGGCCGAGAGGGAGCAGGAGCCCAGAGTTACAGCCAGGAGGTTGGCTGACACCCCCAGATTTGACATCCCAGACCACTGGCATTCTGGGCACCTCAGTCTCCCCATCTGTAAAATAGAAGTAATCTGACCTACATCTTGAGGCTGCAATGAAAACCAAGTAAAAATGCATCTGTCTGAACCAGACGAAATTATCAGTATTTAAATGCTTTTTACCTATGAAAAGAGCACTTTCTTATGATTTAATATGTGGAAGCCCCATGAGCTTGGCCTGAGACATGTACTCAGTAAATGTCACCAGAATCTGAAACAGGCACCACCGTGAACAGGGGAGGGTGTGAGCAGCCTGGCCCGGAGCCCACTCTGCTGCCTCTGAACTTCTGGATGAGGCAGGCTGGGAGTAGGCCCTGGCAGTCCACTCACTCAGGTTAGCCTGCACCCTGGACCCTTGTCAATGGCAGTCAGAGAAGAGCCAAGCCCACCGTGAAGCCACATTACCTGAGGCCAGGCAGGGAAAGACACCGAGCGCGTGCGTGTCATCTACCCACTGAATCTTGAGCCCCTTCTCTCTGTGCCAGGGAAGAGGAGACAGAGTGAGTACAAAAGCAAGGGGCAAAACCCTTTCTGAGAAAGGAGTCCCCTCCCGCCTCCAATCCTCCAACACTATGAGCTCAACACAAGTTCCGATCTCCCCTGGGAAGGAGACCACCCTTTGCAGCAAACTTTCTCTGAAGACCATATGGTTGGCTTGAGAAAGATAAGTATCACCCGTGTTGATCAGATACGTCCCAGATTCCTAGACTGCAGAAAGCCAGGATTCAAAGAGCCTAGCGCCAACGGTAAAGATGGCTCCACACAGGCACCATCACAGCAAGGCCGAGGGCATAGGGTCCAAGGCTGGAGACAAAAGGGTTTATGTCCTAGGAACACAGGACAGGACCTAAAATAAGCAGTCAGTGTTACTGCCCCTAATCAACTTTCTTCCTACTGCCCAAGAAAGCCACAGACTATGGGGCTGATGAGAGGCCAAAAGCAGTTCAGGCCCCCAGTTTCTCTGTGGGCACTGCCCACGTGGGCTGAGGAAGTCACAGGTGGCCCCGGTTTGGCCACGCTTTTAGGGAACAAGAGCAGATGTGCCCCTTTGCCCCACGAAGCTGCCCCCTCAGCCTTCCTCAGGCTCAGGGAGGCAAGGCAGGGCAGTTTCGGAAGCAGTCAGAAAAGGGGGCCATGAAGAAAGGGATTTTTAAAAGACCAAGCAGGAAGGCACCTGACCAGCTCAGTCAGTGGAGATGCAACTCGGTATCAGGGTTGTGAGTTCGAACCCTGTGTTGGGTGTAGAGATTACTGAAAAATAAACTCTTTTACAAAAATTTTTAAAAAAGGACTAAGCAGGAAAAGAGAAGGGAGACTGGAGGAAAGAGAGATAGAGAAAAAGCGAAAAGACTGGAGTTGGATCCAAGAAATTTGGGAAAACAGAAGTCTTTCCTTGCAATATATCCTCTTGGTGCCGGTCTCCACCCTGACTCTGCCCGAGCACATTTAAGCCCAGCTCACCCCACAAACAGTTCTTACACAGAAATGGCCCTCGGCCCACTGACTGAGTGGGTGGCTGGGACGTGGAGCAGAGGAGGCAGTGGGCTGCCTGTGTCATGCCTGTGTCATGCATCCTGATGAGGGGCTGGCTCCTGGCAGACGTGTGGGGGTGCAGGGGGGCAGGATGGAGGTCTGCTGCCGCGGACCAGCAGGACCAGATCTAGGGCCACTGAATGTGTCCCTCACCAGAAAATCAGCTCTCCGCTTCTGTACAGTCATAGGCCAGAAGGAATATGAAGCCTAGGGCAACCACACCCACTTTCTGCCTTTCTTTCCAGATAGCTAGACACTGGGGAAGGGCAGGCAAGTGTTCCCAACAGCAAAGCGATGGTCTAGCTCCTCTCCAGAGGCCAGCACCCACCTCCCCTGCCTCCCTGAAGCTTCGGGAGCACTCACTGGAACTCGGAAAATGCTGCCAGCAGGTCCTCAGTCTTGAGTGTCGGCTCAAAGTCGTAGATCTCCACCACGTGGGCAAAATCCTTTTCTCCAGGCAGCTCCTCCATGAAGGAGGACGTGTCCACACGGATCTTCTCTACCTGAATCTCCTTCTCAGTCAGGTTGTCTGTTATCTGGGAGATCGCACCCTTTAGCAAGGGGAGCTCTGACACACAGGGCTCCAAACACCTGCTTTCAAAACCACACACAGTCCTGCGGGCTCCTGGGGCGGCAGGGAGGTGAGCACCAAAAGTGGCCTCCCACAGAAGCCATACCCAGCAAGTCTGGGAAAGGCAGCATGATGGCAGAATGGGCTAGAAGGTGGAGAGGCGGGAGTTTTAGGGAAGGTAACTTTTATGGAGTCTCCATTGGGTTAACTGGCATTTACACACAATATGTTTCATAGAACCCTGAAAACTGTATCCTATATATACCCTCTTTATAGATGGAAATGCTATAAATCAAAGAGTTAAGCAATCCTGCCCAAAGATATACAGTCAGGAAGAGACAGAACTGGGCAAGTTCAGGATTTTTCTTCCCCTTAACAATGTGATATTAAGCAAGTCTTTCTGGTCTCTACCCTTCATCTATAATATAGTAATAAAAGATGGCTACCCTCCCAACTGAACACGATAGCCAGTCTCAGGGGCAGACACACAGTTCCAAGGAAATGAAATTTGTAAAACAAAGCTTCAGGCGAAAGATCATTCTTATGACCAAGGTCTGTAGTCCTTTAGGAAGCAATTCCACACATATCCTATCTGCTACCTTGTGAAGCATGTATCATTACTCGTTTCTCAGATGAGGGCACTGAGATTTAGAAAAACAAAATGACTTGCTGGTAGAAGAGCTTGTCAGACAGCTCCTACGTGGTTACGTACCCGACCCCATATCCTGAGCCTCGATCCTCCCACCGTGTCAGTCCCGACTCCTTCGTGCAAGGCCCAGTGCTCCCCACTACGTCTCCTAAGGGACACCTAAAACCCAGCACCCAGCCCTGCTCAGGCAGCACAAACCCCACCCTCTCCTCACCAGGACCCTTGGTGCCCATCCACCCTCGACCACACCCACCTCACTTCCGCCCTCCCTTTTCTGGGTTTAAGAGCCTCATCACCTCCTGTAGCAGCTCACTGTAATCATCCTCGGAGCAGCTGCCAAGCCCCAACTCTTCCAACTCTGCTTCTTCCTCCTCTGCCAGGCTCTTCTCCACCTCACTCCCATTCGCCTCTTCTGAGTCCAGCCTCAGACTGGACCCAAGTTGTGTGGCCATCTCCAACCCATGTCCTGTCCCTGAGTGGCTCTCGGGCTGTGGGGACTCAATGCCAACTAGGTCCAGTAGCTGTTCATTGTCACAGCGTTGGTCTGGGCCCTCTAGGTCCTCAGGTGCCTGAGTGGTCAACACAGGGAGGTCCTGATCAGAGTTGAGATCCTCAGCACCAACATTTCCAGGCTCTTCCAAGAGCCCACCAGCTGGAGCATCTCCCTTGAGCCCTTGGGTAGAGGGTGGTACCCATTCTTCTTGCCTGCGCAGTACTCGGGGCACATACAAAGCCTGGTCTGGTTTGCGTCCACGATGCCACCGGCCAGCCCGCGCCCCCCGAGGACCAGCAGGTGCTCCTTGGTTCGAGGTGGGCCGAGGTCCTCGGTGCTTGCTAGGCTGGGAGGCAGGAGGGTGGCAGGGGCCAGAGAGTCCATCTGAACTGGGTAACCTGGAGCAGGAGCAGGAGGGGATCAGAGCCGTGGTTAGGCCCCAAGGAAAATGGTTTACTGCAGCTACCTACCATTCAGGCATGAGGCTCTCAGGTCAGCATTAGGCCAAAACCCAAGCCAAAATGACCCCTGAAAATGCCATAGGAAGGCAATGTAGTGGAGGTTGAATGCCAACTTTGAAGAAGCCCAAAGCAACCAGCTCTCCCTCTAGTATTATAAACTATTAGAGACAGCTGAATCTTCGGTTATACACTAGATGAGATAAGTACTTACATTTAGGAACTTTGTCACTAGAAAAATATGTAACTTTAAACACCAGGATCACAGTCACTGTGATAAGACCCTGAGAGACGCACATGGTAACAGAGACGTGTGAGGCTCGAATGTGCTTCCCTCGTGCCACGGCCTCTCGAGGCAAACACTCTCACCGCTTAAACTGCTCTATTTTTCTCTCTTTCGGCCCAAGTGGATAGCTGATTTTGCCAAATGAATTCCACAAACAATGCACACTTAGTGCACTGCTGAGGCAAAAGGCAGCACTGTCTTTAAGCAGCTGAGGTGGGGCCAGAGGCAGCAGCCTGGGGGCCTGCTGGCTCTGGCTCCTGTCCACCTCACCCACCCACCCACAAGGAACTCTGAGGGCCCTCCACAGCGCTATGATACACACCTGATATCCAAGTGACAGATGACTGTCCTTCTCCTCCAGCCCTCCCCAACAGAGAAGCTGCTCAGAAGATCAAAATTCTCTGCTGTCCTGTGGATCAGGTACCGGAGGCGACTGGAGAGTGGGGGGAAAAGAAGTACCCTGGGAAGGGAAGGGAATGAGTGCTGAGCAGGGGCTCTGGGTGCTGGCCTCCCCCTAAGGCCTGACCCCCACTCCCCAGCCCAGGTCCATGCCCAGTTTACGGTAGGCTAGACCCTCGGCTCCCTCTGCCCCCTTGCGTCCCTGGCCGCCTGCAAAGGACATGGGCATAGAGGTTATCACGGGAACTTAGTGGTCCTATTCCATTCCTGTGCTGGAGCCCTTCAAATCTCTGGGTGAGGCTCAGAATTACACAGGAAAAATGTGGCTGGGAGAAGCTAGCGAGCAGGTTATTAAACCCAAAGGCGAAAATCAGAGGCAGGTAGGAACCAACTACCTGGGAAGGGGGCCCAGGTGGCTCTGGACGAACCTGCCCTCCCTGCACTGGCAGCCCGCACCCCCCACCACCCACTCCGGCTTACTTTGACAGCTGCTTCTGCAGCAGAAAGCGGTCCAGCTCCTCCTGGATGCGGTGCACAAAGTCATTCTCGGCGGAGGAGAGGAAGACGCCGTCCAAGCAAAGAAGGGCCAGGGTGACAGGTGGGAGAGCCTGGGGAGGCAGACGGACGCGGCAGGATCAGATCACAGACCCCGGGCCCACCCACAACCCCGCAGCGTCGCTGCCGCCGAAAAGGTCGTAGAGGCCACCGCGGCCAAGGTCTCTCTTCCAAGTGAGGAGGAGCCAGGCTCCGAGGCGGGGAAGGACGTGCCCAGGGAGGAGTCTCCTGGCCCTGCGGGGACGCGCACCCCTGCACAAGGAGCCCCACGCCGCGCTCCCTCTGCCTGGGGCGGGCCCGCCGCTCTCACGCCCGGCTGACATGCGCGGCGCCGCTCGGGCCTGCTCGGCGGGCGCGGCCGGCCCTCCCCAGGCCACGAGCGAGAGGCCCTAAAGGCGCGGTGCCAGCCCGGGGTGACTGCCCGCCCCTAAGCCCGCAAGCCGCGCTCACCGCCCCGCGGGTCGCCGCCGCTCTGAGGGCCCCCGGAAGCCCGAGCCCTCGGAGCGCCCAAGCACCACCGGGCCTCCGAGGAGTCACAGCGCCACCGCGCGGCCCGGGGGAGGCATCGCAGAAATGGCAGAGGGGCGTGTCGTGGAGTTTTTTTTTGCCCATGAGAGCACACTGTCTCCTAGGATTAATTAAGTTCAGCAAAGACTTTTGAGTGGTTCCTATGTGCCAGTTTCCTATGAGCTAGATTGTCCGGCTCCTTGCTCCCCTCCCTAGGGACCTAACAAGGAATAACTCCAATTAGTAACCTTAATTGGGGCTTGAAATTCTTGCCATCAGACTGCTCCTGGGTCTATAATCTAAGAGAACAGAATCAAAATCCTCCTGTTTCCTGAAAGTGCTGAAATGGAAGCCCCTGATCATCCTGAATCCAGAAGCTCAGAGCAAAGCAGAGCCCTGAGCTAACAACAGGTAAGACCCAGTTTTTAATACAGAGAAGGGACAGTCTGAATGTACCCTGCGGTAGGATATGGGCAAGGTCATGGGGACAGTATACCTCAAAAGGTGGGCTGGTTGTTTAAAAAAAATTTTTTTTTTTAAATAAGATGGGCTTGGAGAAGGGGCCTGGGAACTGAAAAATGGGGGAAATTAAGATGCATTTTGCTTTCTCACTTTTCTCAGAGTATTGCTTTAAAAGATGGTGCTATTATATCACATTTACAAAAACTATCTTTCTAAATAGTTTGAAGAATAAAAAGGACCTAGGAGAAAGACAAAACCCAGTACAGGGAGAACTCAAGGGAGCCAAGTCTTGAGTCCCCTTTCTGGGCATGGTAGCGAGGAGCCTCTGAAGGCCAGGCACGTCGCCTACCTCCAGCCTGAAGGGACGTCCAGCCTCTGAGGAAGCAGAGGATAGGAGGGTGGCAGGAAGAACAAGAGACATCCATTTGGTTTCTGACCCTACAGGCCCCACCCACACCCCACACAGGCTTAAATGAAGTGGGAGCAGGCCTGCAGAGAATGCTGAGTGGCCACAAGATGGCACTGTTTCTCCGACCAGGCTTCTTTGGCCCTTGGAAGGCTGGAAGGCAAGCCCACTCAGCCACAGCCGCAGACCAGATGTGACCTGGGAGAAATATTCCTGGGGACTCAGGAAACAAAGACCCAACTTTTTCAACAAAGTGGCTGTCTCTCCCCCCAAATAGAGGGACAAATCAAAACCCAGGAAACAAGCCATGCCTCCACCTCTTTAGAGGGTCCACAGTACAGATGTTCAACACATTCAGAGACCGTAAAAACAAAGCTTGTAGAAGAAGGACTGCCCCTGAACCCTTTCTACCATACCTTCTTCGGACAGCTCAGAGGGTGAACAGAAAAAAAGGTGTCAGCATGCGGGCCTCCACCATGGGTGGAGGTTTTGAAGGGATGCCCAGATAAATGTGGAGGAGAATCAAAATGCATCCACCGACGCTATTTTGGGACAATATCAGATAAGGATAAAATGGTCTCTATTACTCAGAAGGGAGTAAACAGAACAAAAAGCAGCACAAAAGATACACAGAATTTCTACAGGAAAAAAAAAAAGAAAAGAACATAGTAGGAAAAAGAGCGTGGAGGGTAAGAGTACATTGGAAGATCATCTTGAGAAAAGAGAATAAAATTGCAGTTAATAACTGCTTCACATTCCCAAGGAATTCAAAGAAAGCCTGATTTCCCTGTCACAATGGATAAACCAACAGGCTGAGATGAAAGAGAACTGTCAGAGCCACGGAAAGATGTGAAAGAGGCAATCATGTTCATTACAGGAGCGGCAAAAACTAGAGCCAACTAAGCAGTGATGTTGAGTAAATGCTTGTGGAAAAGAAGATTACTATTTACTGTTTAACGAGTGCATAAAAACTGCGCTCGTTAAATCCTTACAGCAGCCCTTTCAGATGGAGATTGTTACCCTATTGTAGAAAAATAAGCCGAGGTTTAGCCAAGGACACCCAACTACTAAGTGCAGAGTTGGAACTCACTCAAACCTAGATCTAGCCTGACTGCCACACGCATGCTCCTAAACACCACAGGATTAAGATTCTCCATCTCTAGAATGTCATTAAAATTGTCCCGATGGCCAGTGGCCAGATGCAAAAATCAGGAAGTAAATAAATTAGATGAATCTGATCAGCTGGAGAAACATGCTAATACGTGCTAGAGAATTTTACCCCAACAAGAGGTATGACTGACAGATTATGAAAGAATTGAATGCAGGGGGACACGGGGTTACAAACAGTCCCCTCTGAAAAGATGGACCTGGAGTCCCTTGCTGCCATAGTGTTCTCTTTGTGCTTAAGTTTAAATGTAAGAATATCAAGTTTATGGGGCACCTGGGCGGCTTAGTCGGTTAAGCATCGACTCTTGGTTTCGGCACAGGCCATGTTCTCATGGTTTGTGGGTTCGAGCCCCACATCAGGCTCTTTGCTGGAAGAATGGAGCCTGCTTGAGATTCTCCCTCTCTCTCTGCCCCTCCCCTGCTTACTCTCTCTCTCTCTCTCTCTCTCTCTCTCTCTCTCTCAAAATAAATAAATAAACTTTAAAAAAGAATATCAAGTTTATTATTGTTATCAAAAGTCCTTGTAATGTTTGCATCGTTTGGCATATTAGAGAATCTAACACATTAGGTGGTGATTCCAATTTAAAAAGTGAAATGGATCTCAGACTTACCATTTTATTTTTTTAAATATAATTTATTGTCAAATTGGTTTCCATACAACACCGAGTGCTCATCCCAACAAGTGCCCTCCTCCCTGCCCACCACCTGCTTTCCCGTCTCCCCCACCTCCCCCCCCATCTATCCTTAGTTTGTTCTCAGTCCTTAAGAGTCTCATGGTTTACCTCCCTCCCTCTCTGAAAAATTTTTTCCCCTTCCCCTCCCCTATGGTCTTCTGTTAAGTTTCTCAAGATCCACATATGAGTGAAAACATATGGTGTCGGTCAGACTTACAATTTTAAATGGGTAGATGTAAAGATGAGGAGAACAAAGGCAAAAGAAATGTAGATAAAAAATTAAACTTCCCTAAAACATGCAGCCCATTGATAAATACTTGAGACTGGCAGAGCTCACAACTGCCTTAATGTTAATGCTTTGCTAGACGCAAAAAGCAACTTTAGCTGGACAATAGCTGGGCCTCCAGGATCCTGTAAGCCTTCTTTGGCATGTGAAAATCCTTTTGGAAACTTCCTTTGTCTTTATCACCACTACCATGAACTTTAAAAATTTATAATCAATAGCTCCTTACAATCCCAGTACAGCTCTTCCTGCCCACAGGTCCTGACGCCATGCTTTAATAAAAACATCTTTTTACACTGAAAACGTCTCAAGAATTCTTTCTTGACAGTTCCCTCCTGGCCCACATCACATCAGTAAGAGTATTTGACTACGTTGGTAAACAGTATCATAATATTAAAGACAGCTGGATTTGCAATACTTTAAGATCAAGAGTTGTTTACAACACAGAGAAACATTTTGCTTTATACCCCACAAGGTCATTCATTTGATATGCTTAAAAAAAAGTTGGGACTTATGGAGGGGCATCTAGGTGACTCAGTTGGTTAAGCATCTGACTTTTGATTTTGGCTCAGATCATGATCTCATGGTTTATGAGTTAGAGCCCCTGTGGGGCTCTGTGCTGACAGCCTGGAGCCTGCTTAGGATTCTCTCTCTCCTTCTCTCTCTGTCCCTCCCCCACTTTCTCTCTCTCTCTCTCAAAACAAATATACTTTTTTTTTTAAGTTAGGAATTATGGAATATAGAGTAAACATACTTTTCCCTATTCCTTCCACTAAATACAACTAAAAACCCTGAACACTGTATATAAAACAAGTATAAGGTGGGGCGCCTGGGTGGCGCAGTCGGTTAAGCGTCCGACTTCAGCCAGGTCACGATCTCGTGGTCCGTGAGTTCGAGCCCCGAGTCGGGCTCTGGGCTGATGGCTCAGAGCCTGGAGCCTGTTTCCGATTCTGTGTCTCCCTCTCTCTCTGCCCCTCCCCCGTTCATGCTCTGTCTCTCTCTGTCCCAAAAATAAATAAACGTTGAAAAAAAAAAATTAAAAAAAAAAAAAAAACAAGTATAAGGAGACTAAAAGGTAGAGAGAAGAAAGCAGACCAGCGAGGGACTTCAGGATTCAAGGAAAAACAAAGTGGTAAATTTCCTGGTTTTTGTTTTTGTTTTTGTTTTATTTTATGCCTCACATTCCCAGACCCGGAGCTTAAAGAAGCCAGCAACCCAGGAACAGCAAAAGACACAAACAAAACAATACAAAACAAAAACCGGACAAAAGCCTTTTTTTTCCTATCTACTTAAAGGGGCAAGCTAGCAAGAAAGAATACTTTGAGACAATAACTGTTCTACCCCAGCGAAACACTCTCCTCACTCAAACCAGCAAAAGCCAAATAGTAACTTAAATTGTCACTTGCACTGTCTTGTAATAAAGTGCCACAACCTTCCCACCAAGATAATGTCAGAGAAGGCTCAGTAGAGAATTGGGACTTTCGTGCCTTCCAGGTGGTGATGAGCCCTGACAGCTTCCTGCCGTATCAGTAGAGACCACTAGAGAGCCTAACT